AGCCGACCAGTAAATCAAACCAAGGCGCCCTGCTCTTGAAAGACATCTAGATTAAAACTTCTAGAGATTTGAGGTCTTCGGTGTGACCTATGGCTTTTGAGCTATGGGGGGCCAGGGGGTGGGTCGCAAAACCATTGGTTCTGGTTCCGTTGTTGGTTGAAACCAGCAACAACTCGGGAAGAAAAAGCTGTTCATCCAGAACTTCTTCAGGTATGGGTCGTGGCTTTGGAGGCTAGATGAGGCTAGGGTAGTGTTGGATTTGGTTCTGACAAGGCTCTGTGCAGCCGTTTGACAAGTTCCGATGGACGTGCACAAAGCCTTTGTTACCCATCATATGCGGCATTATGTCGAGCATCCACAGCAGCACAACTTTTTTTAAGCACTGACCCCAAACCAGCCTGTGAAACCTTGCAGACGCAAGCAGAACAGTTTCCCGTGGCTGTATCCAGGAATAAGACGGAAGGCTTACATCCCAAATCCCTCCACCGGCAACCTCAGGCTTGCAACCCTTCATTCCTTTGATTCTGGCCTTTGGTTTCGGGTTCCGCCGCCTCGTATTTGGATACCTTATTGCAACTTGCCAGCATTGGTCAAGACACAGGGTACTTTCACAGGTAGAAGTTATTTAAAAACCCTATTCGCCAGTTTCTTGTAGTGAAAACACACAGAATGATAGCTATCCCAAAGCCATATTCCAATCATACAGGGCTCCTAGCCTGGGCGAGACGGGAGCGGACGGGCAATGTTCTCAACCCTTAATAGTCGTTTCCATTTTCTTTTCCATTATCCCAATATAACCCCTACATAACCTCTATGTGGCCTTAGGGTTTTGGGCTTCTGGGATGATCGCTTAATCCTAAACCCTGAAGCTTCTTGCAGCCAATAGCTGTCAGATTTGGAGTGCAAGTGTTGACACACCCACTTTAGCGCCGTTCCTCTTTGAACTCCCCTTTCTGATCGTGCCACTCCCTGCCTAATCCCTTGTAACCCAGAAACGTGCGCTCCACTAATTGCTATCTACTAATGGAAAACCCCTTGTTTGGTCTCCCTATAAGGATTTTCTGGTTGAGAAGGGGAAAGATGTTTAAATGGACTAGCTCCCTGGGAATGGTGAACCCAACAGGATGGTCAGAGGCAGAACTCTTTGGTGGTCTATTGTGACACATGACTTAGAGTCAGGGCTCTGAGGCAATGTGATGATGGTTAAATCCAATGGTCCAACTACAACATAGGACTTTCGTCAGATTTTGAAACGGAAGGTGAAAAATCAAAGCACATGTTTAAGGCCGAGTTTGCAGAACCTACACGGGGGGTGCATATAAAGCCGCTCATAGGAGGTGAGTGAGGTTCGTACAAGCCCGCGGGGTTCGGCTACTTGTGGTTAACCTACAGCACAGGGACGCATACGCAAACAAGTTGCACCTGCATTATTCGCAGAAAGCAAGTCCCTGCTGAACAGTCTACCACTGACGCGAGGTGTTTGTGGAGACGAAGAAGTGCGACTCTGGGGGTCAACTCTGGAGGGCACAGATGCAACATACGCAGATGGGGCTGGTCATCTACATTCTGGCGCTCTGGAGAAGCACCAGAATATCTAATTTGTGTTTTGCAAGTGTATGAAAGCTACGGTATAGGGCCCTCTAAGAAGGACTTTTGCCTTCATAGGGCTCCTTTTGGGTTTCATGTTAACTTTGGCGACTATTCCCCAAAGCTTCATATACGAATTCCTCAAAATTAGATGACCCGCAGAATGCTTGGCATTTCCCTAGGTGCTCAGGGTACCCCCATCTTCAGAAACTCTCATATCGAATCCTGTCAAAACCGTAGGTCATGACCTTGATCCTGTTGGACCGCGAAGAGTCCATGGTGCTGGGCTCCCCAGGTCAATGGCACTGCTGCCTTTTTCGAGGGTTCCTATACTGAGGGTTATTATGTATTGGGGACCTGTTGGTAAAACCTGTTGGGAGTTGCGCAAAATTGACCCCTCAAGAATCCATAATGAGGACCCCCAGAACTAAGGGGGCTCCCTAAGGGTATTGCATTTTGAGAAACTCCCATTACTCGGCGTCCTGAACTGAGATTATGGTTGCTTGGGTCTAAAGAATCAGGTTCGGTTCTGACTTTGCTGTTGGCTTCTGCATTGGCTTGCAAAGACCCCTGTGGATTTCTGCAGGTATCCAATTTAGAGGCGGCTTAGCTATTCCATCTCATGCCAATTTTCTACTGCGTGTTCGGACAGAAAGTGCGTGGAAGCTACTTTGCGCGCAGAGGAACCCCTGGTGGTCCACACATGGTAAGAATAAAGTTGTATAAGGCCTAGATAAGGCGGCCTGCGGCTCGAAAAATGAAAACGACCATCATACTGTATCACACACATGCCAAGAACACAAGGTGGCATGACAAGTACTACATTTTATAGCACGGCAAGCACAAGCCATTCTGGGCATTCCGGGTCCCTAAGGGCTGCCATCTTCGCCGGGAGCAGCGGCTCCCTCGTGGCGCTCTACTGGTGTCTTGTTGTGAGGTTGATGCTTGTGCGGCTGCGGCGGCTGCTGCCGCTGCTGCTGTTCCTGTAGTACTCGTAGTAAATAGTCCTCTGCTATATACTTCTACTGTTAGCACTAGCGACGTCGAATGTTGATACTGCTGCTCCACCGCTGCCACCACCGCAATCGTCATGATCAGCATCGCTGCCACAAGTTCGCATTTGATTGGTAATTGCCGGTAGCAGTATAGCTACCATCCTTGATTTCTCAGGGCTGCAGCTCTACATGTTATGGCTGTACTGGGTATTGCTGTCAGCTTGAACCTTCAGGATGTTGTGGAATTGCCCTTGAAGCATCATGTTCCGACCCTGCCGTGCTTACGGAAGATGAGTTTGCATCATTCATGGTGTGAGGTGGTACTGAGATATTACCGGCCTTTGTAGGCGCCTCTGGCGTGGGAATTAGCACATCACAGCTCCCCCCCTGGTGTGAGGTTTTGGTGGCCGACGCTCTTTGATCTGACTTCACTGCCCGTGCAGCAGGCATATCACGGTGAAAGATAGACCCATCATGTAATCCATTCCTCTCACACTACCCGGGCAAACCCTAAGCCGCAATTTCACTAGAGAAGTTATACGAGAGTATATTCAGATTATAATGGAGATCCACCCTCCACTCCCCCTAAAGCACCAGCAAGTGACCCCCCCACCCCAGTAAGCTCTCTGCAGCTATCTTCTTGTGCAGGGTTGTCAAAAGAGTGCTCTTTTGTTTTAATAGTAGGGGTCGTGTTATATGGGGGGCCCCAAGAGGGGAAACAATGTTGACAACGTACGATGGGCGGTACTACGTGCGCCCTTCCTTGTAGTCTTCAAGGGGGCATGGCCCATATCATTCTTCTACACCTGGAGGGACCCACAGCGGAATGCCAAACTGCTAGGTGGATCAGTGTCTGTCAGAAGCTGCAGGCAGAGTTGAAGCCTGCTTGCTTGGGCCGGGGCTACGAGGAGGCGGAGGGGTCGGCAGATGTACAAAGCTTCTCGCCATACCTGCAGCCAGATTCACAGCCGCATTGAGGATGATGGTTTTTCGGACAATGTGAAAGGCTCAAACGTTTGCAGCTGCCGGAACCGGTGTGGCATCGATTGACCCCAGCAGTTTTAATACCCGCTGCAAGCAAGGAGCTGCGCCAGACACTCCCAGTGACTGCGTTGCTCAGGCGCGCAGATCCCATGCAGTACTTCGGTCCTGCAAGATACCCACATTCAGAGAAATCTTTCAAAATCTGGTCGCATGCGCAGGCACGCAGATTGGGCAGAGTTGGACAGGGCTCTGGTAGCGGCAGCCGACTCAGAGGACAGACTTCAATCCGCAGGCTGGAGCTGGAAGTAGCTGCATCCCTCCACGACGCCCCTGCATAAACCAATCAGGACCTCATCAGAATTTCCATGTGCCCCCATAGGCTGGGTTCGGGAACCCGCCTACATAAGCCGCAGTAGCTTCCTAAGAAGGTCGGGATGTGGAATTTGACAGCCTGCACGCATCGAGTGTAGTGTGCAGTCTAGAGCTTAACCTCTCAGATCTATGACTGGCATGCAGTCCCTCGTCCCTAACCACAAGATCTGCGGCATAAAAAGAATGCAGGTACCAATGCAGCTACCTGCGGGCCGGTTCAAGCAGAGGCCGCATGTCGAAAACCGACGCGGTGGCTGAGTTGCAAGTGCTGCCACAGCATACCGAGTTAGTGTCATGACGTACATGCCAACGCTGCTGCCACCATGACCGCTGCCACCACCTCTAGATGCAGCACTAGGTAAGAGACAAAGCAAAGAGTCAGACATGCAGAGGACCGGACCTTTCGTTTCAAGTGCTCTTGTCTCAACTGGTAGCCACTTTCAAAAAGATGCTCATTAGCAGGGCGTTTGCAGATAGAGGCATTGTGGCTGATGCCATCCAAGGTCACTCCTGGGTTGGGTCTGCCCCGGCTTCTCAGGCATTGCTTTTCCCGACTAGCGGCGGAAAACGGAGTGGTGCTTGCAGATGCACTCTGCATGGGGCTTCTGGTTCGACCACTCCTATTGCAATCCAGGGGTTACAAAAGGCCAACTCTCATGTGCAGAACCTAGGTCCTAGGTTAGTGAGAGCCGAGAGAGCCGGAAATGTTTCTTCCTCGCGGCCATGACACACTAAGACCTGGCCTGCTTCTTAAAAGGTCCTGAAATGCGCAAGCTTCCCTAGGCTTGACCCGGAGACCCGCAGGGATCCAAGATGCAGACAAAACTTTGAAAAACAGGGGGAAACAGGGAGTCATCTTGGTGTAAGTGGCAAGCACTGCTAGATTCCTCAGGAGTCACTCAACCCCAAAGCGTCCCCAAGCCCTGCATAACCCAAAGGACCAAGCCCTCGAGGCCCTCAGCCCCGAATCCCGAAACACCACGAAACCCTTGACCCGGCAAAGTCCAAACCCTACATCTAAAACCCCAGACCCAATAATCCCCAAGCTCGTTTTAAACCAAGGAAAGGATTTGTCAAGTGGGGGGTTGACAGACCGCTGCGAATCCTGGCGAGGCTGGTGTTTATGGTGGGGGTTACGCTTAGGGTTTGGGACCTGTTTAGGGAGGCTACAGGAATAATGTGAGAGGTTTACGGGCTATGAAGGGGTCATGTAGCTCTGTCGGTGAAGATAGGCATTCTGTCCCCGGCAAGCGAAGAGAATAAACCGGTGATCAGCAGGGTTTGGGCACCAAGCCATTCCGGCAGCCATGTCAGCTTTTGCGCTGTTATGTTTCCTTTAGTTTGCTCGATGGTCCCAGCCACAAATACCCTGCAATTTGAAGACCTCCGAGCGATTCCGAGCGCATGTTGGCCGACAAGTTCTTTGGAAGACAGTATGCATGCTGGTAAACTGCAAGACACAGACTGACATACTACACGTTCCTCTTAGTCGGGCGTCTGAAGCGTTGTAAAGACATTTTTGGATGGCATAGCAGTCTCTCGAAGAATCAATGTGGGTGTGAGTAGGTTTTTATCTCCCTATCGACTCCACACGGACTACAAGACCATGTGTACAAACTGGACAGGTATATGCCTACTGTCGGACTTCGACATATTGCAGCTGAGCTGAGATCAGGAAGTGATGATGAGAACGCCCTTGACGAGGGCTTGATTTATCAGAGTTGTGCGCTTTTGCAGTCAGAGCCGCGGAGAGGTGACTCGTTGTTCATGACGAATCCCGATTCTAAACCCTATATCCCCGTAGAAACGTGATGGAAATTCCCAGGCTGATTGGTATCATCCTCATGACAACACCAGAAATAGCAAATCCTCTGGTCAAGCAGAGATGAACCAAAATGCGGCTCAAGTTTCAGGTTCTCCCAGATAAGCCACAAAATTAATACCAAGATGGAAAGGGACCTGCATGCTTTCGCAAAAAGCCCCTGAGTAGCCAGACAGACACTTTGAGGTGCTGTCTGCCATTCCTGGGATGCACAACGTGATGACGGTGCCGCCCAGTGCTTTCCTCGAATGCATGTCCTATGGAACTGGCCCAAAACAGAGAATTAGCACACCCACACGATGCCTGTACGTGCAACACAGTGTCGAAGCTGTGAAAGTGAACGTGGCGCTGTCTTGCCAGGGACTGCTGGTCTTCTTTGCAGTAAACTTGCCATCGCCCAAGCGTTGTCAGCGTTCCTAGCGCCATCAAGGTGTGAGGTCCTTGAGTGGAAGGTAGACATAGGCAGACCCTGAACAACTCAAACGGAATGTCAAAATCTCAATTAAAAAGAGCTACTATTATTACTATTATTAATGTTCTTATTATCATTACAATTATCACGATTATTACTATTACTACTATTATTACTACTACTATTATTATTACTATTACTATGCTTACTATTACTACTATTGTCCGAAATCCCAAGAGCTCCGAGGCTAACTGCTGCGGTGCCCGAAGGCATGCACTTCGAGTTGCCGCAGAACCTGAAGGCATTGTGTGTGAGTCGAGAGCGTCCACCAGCTACCAGCGACATGTCCTTGATGTGATTTTCATCAACAAGATCTACGCCTCTCTGTCATGTTGATCTGCATAATTTGAGGTTGCCTCCGTGTGCTATTTCCCTCAACCGCCTGGAACATGCTGCATGAGGTTTTGCAGCTATTGGCACTAGATTTTTGCAATGATGCAATCAGGTTCATCCCGGTTCCATTGCTTGTAAGAGCATCCGCGAGACAGGATCTTCTCGTATCTCACTTCCGGAAAAATATGATGAGCTTTTTTTGTACTACCGGATGTTGACTTCATACAACAACTCTACAATTGGAAGTTCAATCCACACAAAGAATCTTCATGTTACACCGCGCCAAAACACCACAGCGCCTACACCACCACCACCACCACCACCACCACCACCACCACCACCACCACCACCACCACCACCACCACCGCAGCACCTACACCGCTCACATACACCAGGACACCTGCACTGTGACACATCACAGCAATTACACAGCGCCACTACTTCACTCACAGCGCCTACACCGACCACATACAGCGCAGCACCTACACAACAACTACATCGCGGCGCCTACACCACACCACGACCGCAGCACCTGTAGAACACGGGCAGATACGCGTCCCGTGCTAGCGTCGAACTGATTGCTTTCGGGATAATCGGGCTCTAGTTGTGTGGGTGAAGGATGAGTCTAAGAAGGAGACTGAAGGTATCTGGGTTTGAGGCAGGGTAGTTTCACAAGAAGGTGCCATGGTCTTGGTGCAGGTTCATAAATTTGTTCTCCGATTGAACCAGTCGAAGGTTAGGAGATACGATGATCCTTGGCATGATGTAGCTATTCCCTTGAATCCTGAACCAGAAGGCTCTCCTAATGGAGAGGAATCTGAGAAGTCGGCTGATGCTCGTGCAGGCTCACATCCTTGTGAGGGATCGGGACATCGCTGCTCTTGCTGTTATGAGTATGAGATCAGCTGTCACACTTATACAGAAAAGAGACATGATTTTGTGAAGATCACAGCCTCTGTGTGAGGGTTGACTGCATGTACCGCTGGATCTGGAATGTTGGCAGGAGCTCCAATTTTGACATGTCAGTGGAACACTAAGAAGAATACGCTTACTAAACTATTGTCACCATCTATCTTTCTACTTCCCTGGTCTAGTGTACGTTTGGGGGCTTGGGCCTGTTTGGGGTGGGTGTGGACCCTGGGGGCGGTACTGAGGGACCCGGGATGGTCTTTATCCTGACGAGCACCCGCCCCGCTCTTGCCCCTTCCACTAGGGTGAAAGTACCGAGCCGCGTGTTTTGCAGGCTGCTGGGGCATTGTTGACTTTGGGTAGCCGTCATCCTGCGCACCAACCAGCGTTTGGTATATTCGTGCCTCCACCTGAGTGCTGGAGTCGCCCTTTGGCTTGGCGCACGTATGTCGATTTGGAAGCGGTGCTTTGCGCGTGCTCCCTCTGCGCCCTAGTCCCACCTTGGGCCCTTAAGCCTTGTTGCGAAGGGCAAGCTAGCTACCTGCAGGAAATTGAGCTTTCACAAGCCTGCGAAAGGCCATGCTGATGTCGCCCCTGCCCAAACGTGGTGTCATTAACATTGGTTGGAGTGCAGACATTGCAGCCGCGTGATAGGCGAAGTCCACCACGTTGTGGTAGTAGCAGCCAATCTGCCTTTGCACTTGCCCTATTGAAACGGTATGTTGGTGGTGTTTGCTACGTGATTTTGTTGGTGTTGTTTGGCCCTCTGTATGTGACTGTTGCCACCTGGATCGGGCTTTTCAAAATGCTTATATGTCCCATCTGACCAATTCAAGCATTGGATGGTAGCGGAATTAGCCCTTATTATACACAAACAACGTACCGCCTCTTGCCTGCACTTGCTAGTAATCCCCCACTTGAAATCTGTGGCGGAGGGGGGCGATGACGCTTGCGGAGCCCCCCTGAGATGCTGAGAGGGACGTGGGAGGCAGGCCGCGCCGTAAGTGCTGGTCGATTCTCACTAACTGACTCACTCAAGAATCTTCATGTGCTTCAGTTCTGCAGCCACTTCTAGTCTGTGGTCAGACGATGGATCCTGATGGCAACGGCATCCTCACAGGTGTCGAGCTAGAGATTCTGAGCGGCATTTACGGCCTAATTACTTGAGATTTTCGAGAGTCACGTGCACCATTGTGGGAGTCCCCTTAATCAGGAGGAGCGTGTTTTGTGGTACGCAAGGTGGACCCCCTTTTGTGGAAATCCCCTGTTTCGTTTGGGGTCTGGCTTTGAGGCTTCCGAGTGTATCGTGTCAATCATGCCAGCTAGATGTTCATAATTACGACCAGGGAGGGCGTTCTCAGAAGGTCGGGATTAAATTGTGCAGAGACCTGAGAAAATCAATTACGAAGATGTTGGCTTCATACTCCAGGTGTACAGCCATGGATTCACTAACCCCCAAAATTCTTGATGCAGTATAGCACAGCCTGGCCAGCTCAGGAGTGTGGTTCAGAACTGTTCGGTGAAGATTCTGACGGTGCTTGCCTGCAGATCGCAGACTTCATGGGATAGGAGGTAAGGTCAACAGCCTATGCCCCAAATGCTCAGACCCCAAGCCGCTGTCACCTTTCAAAGCACAAGTGGTAAATAAACCCTCGGCCGATAAATCCTAAGCCCTAGCTAGCTAGGTAGAAGAGCAGCCTGAACCAAGCTGCGCGATTTCTACGATTTCTAGTTTACACACAGTCCTTGCCGCATGAAATACCGAAACTGTCCCTGCAGGTGCTGATGTACTTGGAGGCAGGCCTGTTTGGCCTTTATGCTCTGGCAAAGCCGAAGAAATACAAGGCAAGGCGTGGCGAATTTCCGTGCTATGTTCTGGTGCTGGGCTTATGACATAGGCTTCCAAGGCCTAATTCAAACACATGACATGAAGCTTGACAATGGAGCCTGCTGGACAGCTTCCATGCCACTTCGCACAAGTCGGCCAGGCTGTTGGCAACGATGCGCCGCACTCAGTCCGTAGCTATATGGCGTGAAGAGTGTACGCAGAGCTATCGAAACTGATCCGCTGCAGAAGTCTAAATACTGCAATTAGGATTTCGCCTTTTGGACCGAGGTCATAGACGTGTACTGGAGGACCAGTGCCTTCTCTACCGAGAGACTGTTTAGATTTTAGAGGTCTCAAGCAATGATAGAGGCTTTACAATGCCTTCCCTCATCCTGACGAAAGGGGGTTGTCCAAGTTGCGGCTGTCTTAGAATGGGTGTTGTGCACAAAAGATATCATCAGTGTTGGTGCCTGGCACAATTGCAGACCACAGTTTCGAGAACCTGCACAACATTGTCCCTCAGCGGCAAGGAGCGTTGAGCAAAAACTTCCAAAGGCTGTCGTTCTCAGCGTTCTTCTGCTGGGGCCCTAGAAGCCAGCATGCGTCAGGCTAAGGAGCAGCCATGTACATGTGAGGAGATGATTGCCTGACTGCTGCATCCATGTAATGGGGTGTCTTCATGGGGTGCTAGCAGATCGGAGGAGCCACGGTGCTACACTGAATGGCCAGATTGAGGATGGCTGTTGCGATCATGTACCATATACGAGCCTAGAGTCTGAAGCTTACGCAGTGCGGCACCGCGACTGCTAAACCTTAACCGGACCTTAACTCAAGAATCTGTAGACACATTGAGACCCGGATACATGTCCAAGGATGATTCTGACTACGGAGTGGCCTGCATTCACTGTTTGGATGCGGGCGTGCAAAAGGGGGGGGGGGTTTGCGGAAGCCGTGCCCAAAAAGGATCACGTATCTGCATGCAACAGACTTTCAAAAAAGTTTGCATGGCCTATATAACGCCATGCAAAACCCCATGGCCCACCAAAATACCTGCAGTACTCATGGAATATCCGCAATTATTCGCCACCCTACGCCCTGGACCACCTCCCTCCCATGAGGATCTCCGCTAATCTGCAATTGGCAAAAAAACATACGCAACTTGCAACCAAACTTCTAGTTGGAGTGAGTCTTCTCAGAAAGTAATTCAATTATGGAATCATGCCCCCATTCCCTAATTACTAAGCATCAAGAGTAAAACCTCAGGTATTCTGCCATCTTGCTGACCACTGTCTCTGGTGTTCTGAAAACATTGGGCTTCTCACCCAGGATGGGCGCTTGCAAAAATGGATGTGCTCAATTGATTTAGAGATGAGTTATGGACCGTACTAAGGGGATTCTGAGGGGTCCCATACTAAATTCTATGTGTCTGCGAAGATCAATGGTGCACTTTCGGGGGGAGCTCTTGCCATGAAGATGCCCATGTATTGCATGTCGTGGGTTGCAGTCGCAAAGATATTCTTGGGATCGCATAATACTGTAGCTGATGATAGACGGTCGAAGGCTTATGCAGACGATATGGAGCTGCTGCCTGCGGTAGGTCAGTTCTCAGAACGAGCTTGAAGCCTGGCTGCTCAGACATGTCAATATGATGCCGAGGCGATGTCTACTGGTCTGTTTCACTGCAGTGATGACAATTCACACATTTTAGGTGCGGCTAATGCCTTTTTCCCAAAATTCGAAGACAGCCCTATGCATGAAACTGCTCTTCGTGCGCGCAACTGTTGACAAAATTGATTCCATCTAGGGAGTTTGTACGGCACTACTTCTGATGCGACGCCTGATCTTTCGGGCCCTGAGGCCTACCGCTGGAAACATGACCCCTTAAACCCCTCAAAGCCACGGATCCGAAGCACGGAAGGAGCTCAAAACCTGAGAGTAGGAAAAACAAGAGGAGAAAACAAGGAAACCTGGGTTTCAGAAGTGGGACATGGACAATTTTTTTCTGAAAAATGAGAATTTGCGAAAGAAATTGGCAAACACATCCATATGCACGGACCTCTTAGCCCCATAAGCTGCATGGCAGGAGCATCCTGGCCCTGGGCGGGGTGAGCGGCTTGGCCTTTGGCTTGGCCTCGCAGAACCTCGTCGGGAACTTCATGTCAGGCTGGCCAAGCCCCGATTCCTCGAGGAGGGATAGTTTGCTGCTTTCACCCTTTTGGGGCCCTGGGTTTGCAGCACGGGCTTACGCATCGTATTGAAAGGCCTGAGCTCTACGAAGTCTACTTCTGACGTATATGATGGAACACAGCGCCTCCATGTGCGCAGGCATCTTGCTGATCGTCCACGCCCGAGTCAACAGCAAGTTCGCAGCTGCATGCTCGCGCGAACATTGAATCAACGGCCCAGCCGATATGGCGAAATGAGCCTAATTAAGAACAATGTGGCTATGAAGGTGTTTGCTCGGGCCGTTTTGCTGGTGCATCAGTTGCGCGCACCTCCAGGTAAACCGCCAGTTCACGATTGGCGACGTCATAGAAACGAATGGCATTACAGGCGTGGCCTGCACCGCATTGCAGAATTTTCTTTCGCAGTCATTCGAAACAAGCTGGGTGCTAGAATCGCCGGCCTGTGCGTGTCTTTTTACTCCGCTTGAGGGAGGAGTTGATCGGGTAGCACACGTGTGTCTTCCTTGGGTTCCCCCAACAAAACAGTGCATGTGGCAGGAAAAGTGATGGCAATGGGCTGGACCTTCATCGAGATACAACGTGGAGATGATCTGGTTATGCTGCCTAACTCCCAGGTCGGAGGGGTCCTACCTAATGAAGGACCGCTTCAAAGGCAGTTCGGGACTGAGGGTTGGCGTTTAAGTGCGCCAGAAACTTCTCCCTCAGACCCCTCCTCCCCGAGCTTGGTGGCGCCAGCTTGCATGGCTGGAGTTAGCATGCTAGGTACAGCAAGCGTAGACGCACTGGCCGCAGAGACTTAGCTGGTGACTGACAGTGTGAGGTGGTGGGCACAACTGTGATTCAGATCGGACACTTCTCCCAAGATGAAGGACGCCAAGCTTGCACGATGGGTTTCCCGTTGCAGCCGCATGACAGCCCCTTTGCCTTATGCCTTTCCCTTTGACAGAGATGCTGTGGACTTTGTTTGTTTGATTACGAAGCTTTCTGCGTCTAAAACCGGACATAATAGCTCAGAGCATCACATGTCAGTACTTTCTGAATTCAACCCGCCGTGCCGGAGATGCAGGCGATACAGCTACAGCCGTGGAGTGAACACAAGTTCAGAGATGCGACCTTTTCATGGGCATTAGCGCGCAAGATGGGTGCGGCTCTGACACGAGTAGCTAGGATTTCAGCCTGTGCTGCGTTTTCCATATGTTTGAGGTTGGAAATCCAAGCTCGAGACATAGTATGTTGGGCGTGTGCGAATGTGTGCGCTGCATTGATTTAGGAATTGATTCTGCTCGCCCGTGTTGGCGGAAATGCGAAAAGACTCGAAGGCTTGAAGCCGTTATGCTGCTTTGAATGTACAAGTGGGTCTGCAACAAGGAAGATCATGAAGCTCTTGTCGGTCAAGATGCAAGCGTCATTTTGACCTCACGCCAGGGTAGGCTCCAGTCTGCAGGACATTGTGCTGCCACAATACTGGGTCATCGTTAGAGATGTTTTTATTTTTGGGAGTGTACGGGTTTCTTTATATCTCTACAAGGGGGATCCTTTTTTTGTTCCTAGGCGAATATGGACGAAGAATGGCCAATGACTGCAGCCCAACAACATTCCTGCGGGAGTCCAGCCTTCCAATCAGACACATGCAGAGCTGCCCCCTAAGATATGTAGCGCATGCTGCCTCCAATGTTTTTGAGAGCGAAGCGGACTTAGCGTGGCCCTCCAACAGCAATGAATCCCTCATGTCTACAGTGGAGTGAAAGGATGTGTAGGTCAACAGGTAGACGAGAATGGTTCTCATTTTGCATGTTGTGCTGTTTGTTCTCCGCTTGGTATACGTTGCTCCTGCAGAAGGCCGTTTATTGTCATGTGGACTGCTGGACAGACTTGGAAACCTTATCCTGAAGCACTTCAAGTGGTTGACTCATTCGTTCCTTGGGAAGTTGTGTAATTAGACCGCTTTCTGCCATTTGCTCCACGCTGCCATGGCGCCAAAGGCAGATGCAGCTTGCACAGCGATCTCATATCCATTCAAGAAGCTTCCATGTCCTAAGCGCTGCACACTCGGGAGAACCGTCTATGAGCTTAGTTTTGCCAGATTGCAGATTGAGCCCGAGGTGCATGTTCTCCTTAGGGGCATCCCCGAGTAGATGCAGGTTTTCGCGCGTTTAGATGGCAAGAATCCCATGATTGTGGGGTGCTTTTTGAAGGGCTTGTTTTTGGTGCATGGCCATTTCCATCACAATGCTGTTTTGCGCACGGGCCTCTTCAGAGAGACTTGTGTTCATCAGGAGAAGAAAAAAAAGCGCACAAACAAGCCAAGCCCGCTGGAACGAATGCAAGAAGCGTCGGCATCCTCAGCTGATTGGTGTCAGTCCGATCATTCCCATTACGGCAAAAGCAAATGCTACTGCTCCAACGATTGTTCCTGTTGCTAGAAAGATTGCGTCATGTACTACTGTTACCAGGAATGCTAGGACTGTTGCTACTACGAAGCGCACTGTCAACATTTTCACGTATCTCTTGATGCTTCAGTGGTGCAGTCCTAGGCAGGATCCGACACTATATCCCCATTGCTGCTGTCATTACCGCTATGCTTTTCAGAAGCCTGTGATGCTTGGTGCATAACAGCCTGCATGAGAGTAGTGACACTATGTATGGACATTCGAGTCGCCAGGTTTGCGGCTCAGAACTCAAATCTCAATAGCGATCGTGTTTGCTTTTCACATCCTTGCTCACTGCCTGACGGAGATGCCTTGAGCATCCTCGCAATTTGTTGAAATCTAACCCGGCAGACTCCAAGGTTTGCCATGATGAACTTGGATGAGGATACCAACATATCTAGAGATGAATTCCTCAAGGCCAGGCGTGCATAGGAAGGCCACTTTCAAAGATTCGGTGAGTCCAAGCTACGACGGCCTCTGATGGCTGTAGATACCATGAGGGGCGGATATGGGGCATCAGAGGGGTTATAAAGGGATGAAATTATATAGGGCTGTAGAGAGATATATATGGACATAGAAGAAATAGTTTAGGGTGATGCTACCAAATCCCAAATGATTGAGAATCAAATGAAAATGGACAACAAAAAGGACGTGGAGTTTTATATACGGGTTTAAAGTGTTTAGGCTATATGGGAGGTTTCCAAAAGGCAGGGGTTTCTTTTTGGGAGGTTGTGAGTTTTTAGAGAGAAGGATTATATCACATTGGGGAGTCTTGGGCCCCTCTTTTCAGAACCCTCGACTTACTAAACTGGGATTATGTATCGCAGGCCTAGTTGGATACAGTTCGGCGCCTTCCAAATGGATGTTTCTGTGGGACAATGATAGATGAATGAATATGCACTTTTCATAGTACATTGTGTACTTTATTCCACGTATATGTTTTCTATCGATTAAGACATACACTAGTGTGTGGCAGGCCATGGAGTCTGTGGGCATTGTCGGGGCGCAAGCAGAAAGCCTCTTCAAGAGGCGCTGCTGCAGTTGAACTTGCGCCAGCTGCATGCGTCATAGATAGATGCATAAGTAGTCATTGGGGTCCAGCTTTCAGCTAAATCAATTCTTTCCGGACCTTCTGTCGCGAGCTCCCAGAAAAGATTGCTGGATGGCATATGATAGGTTCGATCCAGATGGAAGTGGGCTTCTGGACAAGCAGGAGCGAGCCATCGAAGTGTTGCTTTTCGCAATCTTTGTATGAGTGCATACCAAAACGGGGCGATCTATCAAAACAGGAGATTCTCCCATACCTGCAACCCCTGCCATGACGAACCCCAAAGAAAGCCATCTGAAAATACTGGCATCTGCTTCATGTGAGCACCCCAGAAGGGGCCATCATCTAGATAGCTTGCATAACTCAGTTTGTGAAAGGTTCATGCTGCAGGCTATCTGAGCAGCACGCTCCGGTCAAAAAGCCTTTGCAAATCCGTGCGAGAAGAACCCTCTGGTTTGGAGAGCTTTAGGAGACCCTTAATTTGACTCATAGTCATTCTGGATTCCACAACGCTGCCTCTCAATCCCCTCAGCTCGGCGTTCCTCCTGGCCTCTGGCACGGTTCTTTGCTGGCAGGAAGCAAGTCGTTATTCGCTTCTGCTGGAGCCCTGACCTTCAGATCATGGTCCTAAACCACTTGGCCCAGACCTTCCCGTCGTAAACATGCGTTATACACAAGCCAGGTATGATCTCCATGTCGCCCAAAGATTCCCAACGTAGCACGCAGATCCTGTACATGAACCTGCAGGGTCCTTGCATTACTGCTTGCAAATCATCGGCTAGGAGTTCTTTGCCTATGCTGCCAAAGGAACGGCAGATGCTGGGCCCTGAGAACCATCCAGTGGTAGTAGCAGATATAGCAGAAAAGCGGGCGATCATCAAAACTGTCCTGTGGGAGAGAGAGTAGCGGTGGCTCCTGAACATCAAATCTCTCCCCTCCGTAAGCAAATGCACTGCATAAGGTCCCCAAACCAAGCTCACAAAAACGTGTTGGGGGCCCAATGAGCTTCATCTCGCTGCACGCGTCACAGTAGTCAAGCAAGCACGTTGAACCAGGTAATATCTCATGGTTGCATAGTACCTTACCATATCTCCTGCCATGGCTAGTCATGCATATCGTCGATATTCCTTTACTTACCTAGCACAGCCGAGACAATGCAAGTCGCACGGGACCTGCTAGAAGAAACAAAAGCAGATGCTAGCAACTGTTTTGCCACAGGAATGGCAAGCACCCACGAGCTGGGAATCGTTCAGCGTGCAGGATGTGGCACAGTAACCCCCCGCACGAAAGGAGAGACCAGTGAAAAAAAAAACTCGCAGAGGCCTCAGGCTGCCTGCAGAAAACATGGGACTGCTTGAATTCTCAACATACATCACGGGGAACAACACTTTGTCGAATCTACATCTCGCTACATAGCGGAGGACATGGAGTACTGAAAAGCTCGTTCTCATTGGCCTAGATAGTGGAGAATGATCACCCAGACTTGACCGAATTATACCGCTTGCATTCTTCTGGGGCAGAGGCCTTCCGCTGGAAGCAAAGGTCGCGCATTTACACCTCCAGAAGTAGCAATACGACGAACTTTCGGCCAGCCGCAGTCTTGCAGCAAATGGAGAACAATGGTCTGGGAATCCTTGCTTGTAGTCTATGCCACTCAACGTCCCAATCCCTGCAAACCTTCTCATCACTTCCCCCTGATATGAAACCCCCCACGTAACACAAGATACGGGTTCCCCGGAATTCCCACTTCTGAAATCCGCGCAAGACTTCTTTTAAAAGGGCCAAGACTACAGTTAACTACGGCTCGGATCCTCTGAATGAGGGGCGGGGTCCCTAGCATGACTCTCAAGGATTACGGATCTCCTTGATTTCTTTTGAATTGGTTTTTATAAATGAAGTTATATAGAATCTGAATGATGTGTTGATTGGGTTCATTGCGATGTTATAGCTGTTTCTATTTATTTTGTAATTAGATTTTGCGTAAATTTCAATTGGTTTGGACTTGAATCAGATTTTAATAGATCGTAAATTCGTTTTAAGGGGATTACATTTATTAGTTGATGTTACAGTTTAGATTTCCATCAGATTTCAATGGCTTTTACTTGGATGTAATAGGTTTTATTGCGATTCATTATGATTTTGATTAGATTTAGTCCGTTTGTTATTCGATTTAATCGGCTTTAATACGAACTTCATTAGATTTCAACAGGACCCTATTACATCCCCTCCCCCCCGTACAGTGAATATGAATACAACTCCTAACATTCATTACGGTTCGTACTATAAACATTGGGGGGTGCCCTTTAATGAAAGAGAAAAGATTAGAAGTCGATGAATTCGCCATCTCACTTACTGTCTTTAAAGGTTACATGAAAAGGCCTTTAGCCCAGTATGGGTGTCATCGTGACTGCGTACTCCCTATACTTCTCCCTGTCGAATCCTTATTGACCCGAGCTATTGTCCGCCCAGAGTCGTGCTCTAAAGCGGCAATCTGTGCTATTTGCAACCTATGGAGACTTCCCTGGACCCACTCCCTACAATCCCTTCTGTAATCCATAACAAGGTTCCAAGATCCTGAAAATTAATCTCGATTCATCCCTTGAATCCTTATAAAC